CCTATTCGACTTGACTGAACGCTAGCGAGTAGATTCAAAGCTTAGAAGAATTATACTGATGATTAGAGCAAACAATCTTCAACGAGTATCCTTGAGTAAGTAGCTTCAGGTATGTATCGTTAAGTTGTTTCATCTAGTCAGCCCATTCAGCTGAGTTTACTACGACTGCAACTAGATTTGGGTGTACATGATTTGGGTATAAATTACAACCATCTTAAATCTTGTTATCTTCCTTTTTAGTAAATAGTTGAAATGTAGAATTTAGGAGATGTACACTACTTCTACTTACCGTGCCTCTTATGCTCCTTCATTTAATTATTAAATTTTGAAAATATCTGCGAAATTATTTACAAGAATTTAACCATATTAAAATCTATCATGCCAAATTGATTCCAAGATTTGACCCCTCTAGAATTTACAAAATCTTACCAAAATTATATCCTTCTTCAGCTAAACAACACCTGAGTCGGACACATAGATAAGGATAAACTGAAAAACTTGCATGACGAAGAGAAACAAAAACTCCTGCAGTAGGTGGAAATTTACCTCACACCAGCATCACCGACGATCCCAATAGCCATGCCAGCTGATAGACCAGCAAGGCCACATGCAAGGCCGGAAGATAGGTGAGCGTATCCGTCAAAAAGGTAATAAGACTTGGCCTTGGGATTAATTCCCGTGCTAATAATCACCGCAATAATCAATCCGTAAATACCGAGAACACCAGCCATGACCACGGGCACAATTGACTTCATAACAAGCTCCGGCCGCATGACCCCCATCGAGGCCACGCCTACGCCGCTCTTCGCCGTCCCGTAGGCCGCCCCCATACCTGAAACCGAAGATCCCAATCACAAAGATGGGAAAAACAATTAACATAGCAGAAGAACTGAACAAAGATGAGTAACAGATTACAGGAGAACACAAGCGCTGCTGCGGCACCGAGGAACCCGAAGAAAGGAGCAGTTTCATCGCCGCTAAATCCAACCATCTTCTCAGAAATCCCTTATCCTCGAAACCCTTTAACTTCAAAATTTGAGCTCTTCCGGTTTCTACCCCGTTTAACCCTCTACTTTTTTTGCGCGATGAAGAAGAGGAGAACAGCAGAAGAACCAAGCTGAGATTTATACGGACCAGAAGAGATAGAGAGCCAAGATCCGATATTTGGTTAATGATTTGCCAGCGGTGCTATGTTATTTTATCACATGCCGATAATTTAAAATTTTCGCGATTTAAAAAAAATCATCTAAATTTTATTATTTATTTATATATATTACCCAAATTTACATAACAAAATAAAAATATCATGTAAAAGTCTTCATTGATTTTTAGATTGTAATTATAAATTTTTTTAACTATTTTGTTAATTTTTTGTTAGATTTCAAAGAATTTTACATTGAAAAGGTAATTTTTGCAACTAAGCGACTAACATATGAGAGTTGTAATAAGT